TGCTGCTGTTGATCCCTACACTGGCTGGGTTCAAGCTAGCTCAGGCCGACCAGCCCTTGTGCAGGTTTGCATAGCCAAACTTACAGCCTTTTCTGGGTCATATCTCCATAATGGCTCCTGCTTGTTCTCTTTCCCCGGTCCTAGGAGTTCTCCTGGGATTGTCCGCTTCTTTGTTATATACAAATGCTTCTTTTTGTAGCTGCTGCTGTTGATCCCTACACTGGCTGGGTTCAAGCTAGCTCAGGCCGACCAGCCCTTGTGCAGGTTTGCATAGCCAAACTTACAGCCTTTTCTGGGTCATATCTCCATAATGGCTCCTGCTTGTTCTCTTTCCCCGGTCCTAGGAGTTCTCCTGGGATTGTCCGCTTCTTTGTTATATACAAATGCTTCTTTTTGTAGCCAGCAGCACCACAGAGTCAGAAAGAATCCAGACCAGCAATGGCCCTGAAACCAGCCTGTCCATCATGTATTTCAGTCTCTCCCTTTGCCCATAACACTCAGTCTCAAGCAAACTCTTGTCAGTGTGATGGAACCGGTTTCTTTTCACTTCCCTTAAATTCAAATTTAATTATCCCGAGATGCCAGGAATGGTGGGAAAGACAGAAAATTCCCTGTGGTTCGTATTCTAGCTCAATTTCATTTGCCTTTTACTGGCCATCACCAGCTAATTAAACCGTGTCAGTTTCATTTACCCAGGAAAGAGTAGAAACCATGTGTGCTCATTTATGGAAGGCGAAAACAAGATTTCCTCTCCCCAACAAGCAGGAAGGATGAATCTGAGAGGGCTGATCCCTCACAGCCAGGCACTGGGGCTCAGGGGGCAGAAACAGGTCTGAAAACCCCACATGGTCCCCTTTTGTTTGTTTTAAGCTTGCTGCCTATTCATTTCATTTGGTGACCCCTAGTTCTTATATTGTGGGACTAAGTAAACAACTTTTCCTTATTCACTTTTTCCACACCCGTCATGATTGTATAGACCTCTAGCTAAAGGAGACAGCCACAGATCTGCAAGGCTCTGTCTGCCACAAACAGCGGACAATTCTGTTCCTCTAAAAGTTGATTAGTTTTGTCTTAAGAAAACAAGGACGAGCAAAGTGTCTGCATGAGCAAGCCCAGCATGAAGCAGCTTCTTGGACAGTCTGCACTACGCTCTGGCTGACGGGTTCCACACGCAGAGAAAAGTGCTCTGGAAACGGAAAGGCATCAACCTTTCCTAGCAGCAGCGTCTCATTCTCAGGAAGAAGGAACAGGCCATAAAGGGCCCCATCCGTCAGGTGTTTTATTTACAACTATTTTGACCAGCTCTACCAATCATGTTGCTTTAGAGAGGACGAACCAACACCAGCCCGGGTTGTTAGTCCATGTCTGAGACCGCCAGCCCAGCTGATCCACCTGGATGTTCGGATGCAGAATTCATCATTCCCAGGCTTCTCTCCCTGTTCCCGCTGAGCTGGAGCAGCGATTTGTGCTGGGGAGAGACTCAGCGGAGAGATGCGCAGGGGGATCTTTACAAAGCAGAGGACAGTTTGGAAGACAGTGAAGAGTGAACATGGAAACGCTTTTCTGGAGCGCGGCAGCAGGGCAGGGGCACTGGGGAGCCAGGAAGGGGAGACATGAGGGAAATCAGCGCAGAGACAATGGAGTCTTTGTCTGGGAGGCGATTCAAGACTTTTTCCTGGAGGGAAGAGGCACAGCTGCTCTCCGTGCAGACGCGAATTGATCTCAGAGTCCCACTGGGTCCCGAGCTAACAGAGCCTTGTCAAAGCGAGGGAGGGAGGCTGCGTTGGTTTGAACTTGGGCAGTGGCAGTGCACACGTGGGCAGTGCTGAGCCGGCATTTGAGGCCTATGGGCACAGGCAGTGGGCAGGCCTGGCCAAAGAGTTTGGGGGCCCCAAGGCAGCATGGCTGAGTCAGGGTAGCGAGTGAGCAGCCGGGTGGGCAGGGCCGGGAGCCGGGCAGCGCAGGGCCCTGAATGAGCAGCGCCCAAGGCAACCGCTTCCCTCACCTTGCCCAAAGGCCGGGCCTGGCAGTGGGTCAACCTGCTCCTTGTTCCCAAGCCCCTGCCCCCAAACTCCTGCCCCACAGCCAGAGCCCTGAGCAGCTCCACTGCCCCATAGCCAGTCCAAACCTGGGTCTGGCCCCAGCCACCCCAGCTGGCTCAAAGCTTGGGTGGGCACCAGCCACCACATGGGAAACGTGCTGCTACTTAGCTTCCTGGCTGCATCAGTCATTTCTCTGGAGTCCAGGGAGACTGGCGAGCCCAGGATGTGAGCAGCAGATACTGTCCCCTCAGCCGCCCGGAGCCTGCACTGCGCATAACAATTAACACAAACTTCCTCCTGCGGAAGCCCAGTCCATGCAAACCACCAAACCCCACAAACGGGTGGCTGGCGGGGGTGGCTGCACTGGGGACTTAGTGTCTCCTGGCCTATTATCCCTACCGCCTATGTACATGGTCTCTGTCCTCATCCAGTACAGTTAGCGCTGGCTCATGCCAAGGGCCACCCAGAGCCACCAGGGGCGGATGAGCCTGTATGAAACCAGTTCTGGTTCCCAGGAAAGAGAGAGCAAAGAGGGAATTGGACTAAATCAAATCAACCACGAACCATAGCCCTGAGCGCCGGAGGGGAAGCAGGGGAGTCTAGACTTGGGGACGATTGAGAGTTTGGCTGCTCTCTGATGGAGGGTGCTCAAATGCTATTGTGAGAAGGAAGGAAAGAAGAAAGAAAAAAGGGGTGGCTAGGTAGTCTCCTTGACTACTACTAAAATGCAGCCCTCTCTGGGGTGGAACTCAGTGGCTGTTCCCAGCCCACAGACAGACTTCATAACAGCTGAGAGCAGGAAGGGAAAAAACCAAATGGCTCCAATTCCAAGTGCGGGAGGAGCTGAGGTTGGCAAGACACGCTGGCCTCTCATGTGTGCATTTGTCTGGGATACTGGGCTGAGCACTGCTGGGGAGGAGAGAGCAGGGGAAGTAGACAGAGGAAGCGTGCGGCACGATGTACCCTC